ACAGAGAAAAACCCAACAATCATATGACCCCCTATGAGCAAGCACTTTGGCAACAATGGGAAGGAAAAGCCCTCTTTTAACAGGAAGGATGCTATACTATAATCTTCTGTTCTTGTTGGCTGGCCTGATTTTTAAAAAATTCTGAAATATTTTAAATGTACTGAATGAACCTCACAAGTTTTACAGGCACTGATGTGTTGATTGTCATTTAAGATAAGTAAAGGACATTTGTCATACACTTTTTATCATGTCATATGCCTGTCAGGCTTTTATTGAACAACATCAAATACAAGAAAGTGAATGTGTGACACTGTTTTATGCTTTACATCTCAGGTACTTTTATCACACATGTTTGTAACAGAATTTATCAGTCACCACCAAATTTATGTTAATAAACTAAATCTAGCATTATATTGTAGTTTTTAACTTTGGTTTGCACTATGACTGGCAGGAAGCGGTTCACTGGAAAGCACAGCCTCATGCAATATTGCAACATTATGACATCATTCTGATTCACTAGGCAAAGATCACGTTGTGCACTGCGATGTTTTGCAACACTCCAACAAGTGGTGACAGCGTGTCGGTCTCTAGAAGAGTTTTAAAACCGGCACTTTAAAATAAGTGAAAGTCATTCAAACCTTCCTTCTGCTTTCTCTCTCTCTCTCCCCTTAGGCCATGACTCCAGGTCTTTATCACTACTATGTGACAGAACTGGCCTTCTACTGGTCGCTCATGTTCTCCCAGTTTACCGACATTAAAAGGAAGGTGAGGGGAACACCGATCACGTGTTTGCTAGATCAGATCGCAACAGATACTCCACAGCTGCAACTTTCCGTTAAACATTGGTCAATAAGTCTTTTGTTCCTTATTTGGCAGAGGCAGAGAAAATGAGAATGGGTGTGTACGTGATGCAGGGTTTTTCACATCTATGCACATAACATTAAACCTTAATCGTGACTTTGCTTTATTAACCGAAAAAACAAAACAAAAAACTCTTGCAGTTTTAATTAAGGGCAGTCACATGCGTTATATTTTTTTTTGGGAGGGGGAGGGTGAAGCCAATGCTGCTCAGTCTGAATTCCTTGCATTTTCAGCACGAGGGTGCCCACTGTCATGTGATTGCAGGCTAGAGCAGGCCTAAGTCTGTTAGAAGGATAGAAGTTCCACAGAAACGCAGTGAATGAGAGGTTGTGTTTGTTACAGCTGTTGGCGCTTTCCTTTAATGTCTTCCTTTTTTTTTCTTTCTATGCAACAAATGCCTGGCAAGTGTTTTAATTAAGCAGCTTCCAAATTTCCTAACCTGTTAATTTAATTAACCATATTTGCTTCTACTCAGGTGATTGCTTCACTGGATTTGTGCTCATCAAGTTAAATGCCTTTTTATTCACATCGGAAATTCTGCCAGGTTTTTTTTTTCATCCTTTGCTCTATTTTTGCTTCGTGTCATGATCCAAGCAGCCAGGAACACACAGGCACAAATGTAATCTTCAAAAAAATGGGTTTTATTAAACCCCAAAAAGGACAAGATGATTACAAAAATTCAAAATAACAAAAATAAAGCTTTTAAGAACCAAGTGGGCCCATAAAAGAGGTTAACTTAACAGAATGCTACTCAAAAGTCACTTAACAAAAACATAACTCAACAAACTGACCTGCCCAAATGAGAAACAGCTCCAGTTATATAGCAAATGAATAAACCATTATATACACCAAAGGTGAAAACTAAAGAGAT